GCAATAAAACCTTGGTAGAGGTTCCAACCCTTCCTCACTTTATTCAAATTAGAAAGAAAAAAATTTAGCTGGAATTGGACTTTACGAAAAAGCTATTATATTTATACATGTACTGTGTATAAGAAAAGAGCAAATAAATGTAAATATATAGTATATTTAACTGACTATTCTGCTGCACAGGTCTTTTGAGATTTTCTGCTTTGAATAAGTAACAAACAGCATGTTGACAGAATTTATGTAGCAAAAGTATTGACTTTAAAACTAGTTTCATAGTACACAGAGGATACTGCAGTTTAGTTTACCATGCCACCAATGAATGTAGTAACTGTTTTTCAAGTCCTGATTATCTAACTTTCAAAGGTTAAGAAGCTTGTTTGCAAAGATATTATGAAAACAGCTTGTTTATCCCAACTACAGAGTAAATTGAACACCACGCAGTGACATATGACAATGACACCAAGGGAAAGTGGAATGGCTGTTGCCATAACATCACAGTATGGTGAGATGCATGCAAAATATACAAAACAAAAAAATTAAGCATAAATATATTTAATATATCCCAAGCTGATTAAGGAGAGAGAGAGAGCGAGAGCAAAAGAGAGAGAGAGAGCGAGAGCAAAAGAGAGAGAGAGAGAGAGAACGAAAGAGAGAGAGAAAGAGAGAGAAAGAGAGAGCAAGAGAGCGAGCGAGAGCGAGAGAACACTACCTCAAGTACGGAAAATTCTTTGCAATGCCTCAAGTCTGGAGGAGGCCTAATACTGATTGAGGAGGAGAACCATGGCTGCTGGAGGTGCCTGGAATGGAATAGACCTCAGGAGCAAGGCTTGTGTCTCTCCTACTGAAGATCCTGTAGTGACGTACCTAGGGCTGACAAAATCTGGAGCAGATTTACACTGCAACCAATCAGCTCCTCTGTCTCATTATGAAATCTTACCTGAGCTAACTAAAAAGAGATGCTGATTGGTTGCTATGGGCAACTGCTCTGCATTCTGTATGCTCCAGTTTTGATAAATCCCCCCAATGTCTTTATGGACCTGGCTTCGTATACAGGTGCACACTCATGCTGGAACAGAAAATGGCTTTCCCTATACTATTGCCACAAAGATGGAAGCACCCAATTGTCGAAACCAGGGGTCAGCAACCTGCGGCTCCGGAGCTCTTTCATCCCTCTGCTGCGGCTCCCTGTCCAGGGTATTCAGTCCTGAAACAGCTGTTTGGTCCTGAAATGTCACTTCTATCCGACTTTGTGAGTGGGGTGGAATGTGAGATCGCACTCACAGAGTCGGATAGAAGTGACATTTCAGGACCGAACAGCTGTTCTAGGGCAGATCAGTTCTCCTGCACATACAATTTGCGATGCCAATCTGCCCTGGAACAGCTGAAAAAAACGTTGGAATGCATGACCTACTGGCAATTACTCATTCCGCCGCCCAAAAATTACATTGAAATGTGTGACCACGTCACCGGTCACACATTGATAGAACACCGGAATCAGGGGGGGGGTGAGGGGTACGGCCAGTACCCATGTGAGGGGTCTGGGCAGCCTTGGGGGGCCTCTTACTTGAGTATCAGCTGTACCAGGGGCGGCATGGCAGATGTGAGAGGGGAGGGCATGGAGGAGGCCAGGCCCCAGCAGGTTAGAGGAGTTGGGAGGAGGTACAGGAAAAGGGACCCCGGCGACCAGCCCACCTGAGGCCCTGCACAGCCCACCATAGAGAGTCTCAGATGGGCTGTGCAGGATCTATGGTGGGCTCTGCGGTGTCTCAGGTAAGTCCAGAGCGTTACTAAGCCCTGAGTCCAGTGCGTTACTAAGCCCAGAGTCCAGTGCGTTACTAAGCCCACATATACCTATATACATGCTATACATAGCATAAAAGGTAAAAAACTATATATGCCTTCATTTTAGATGTCAAAAGAGTTTTGTGGCTCCCGGTGTTTTCTTTTCTGTGGGAAACGGGTCCAAATGGCTCTTTGAGTGTTTAAGGTTGCTGACCCCTGGTCTAAACTGTTTGTATACTTCGGCAGCGCTGAATACTGAAAAATGGCCTGGCCAGGAAGGGGGTGAAACACTATGGCCTTCAAGTGGTTAACAGCACCCTTCACTAAAAACACTTAAACTCAATCATGTGGAGAAGTGTTCACACGCATTTGGCCATATATAGTGTATATGCATGCACCGGATCGATATGAAAATTCTATGTTTGCTGTAGGTTCTCTGCAGTAGCTGGCTAGGCGTAAATGTGGACAGCCACACCAAAAACAACTGAGAGCGGTACCTTAGCCGAGATTAGTAAATCGATTTACCTTTTACTGCAAGTCAAAGCAATCAAATCAAGCAGATTGATGAAACAAGATGCTTGCCAGATTTATCATGATTAAGCTAAATATACATGTGCTCGATCATGCAAACCCAGCATGCAATACTGTATGCGTTCAAACTGTGATTTGTATGGAAAGTATTAGATCTGTCTGATTAGCACTGAAGCAGATTCAGTCTGTTCTCCCAAGCCACTGGTTGTAGACTACAGTTTTAAGATGTAGAGCCTGCAAGTAAGAATGATTTTAAAAAAATGTGTTCTTTTGTAATGAACACGAAAGACTTTTATTTCTGGACTGCTTATACAAGAAGAACATTGGGGCTCAAACATAAAAACTGAGAGATAAAATATGATGGTGACCATAGTAACCGAACATTTGATGACTTTCATCTTCTAATCTGCACAAAACCAGGACAGTCAGAATCTTATTAGTTGCCTCCACTTATACTTGTCACCCAGGTTTTTTTATAGAAGACCTACTAATATTGATGACAAATTACCAGCAGTATGATTATCAGCATTGAACGACAATGCCACTTCTGATGAGCAATGGCATACTTGGGTACTAACTTTTAAAACACACCAATCAATGGAATTGACAGGTTAAAAAGCAATTACTAATTTATAGGCATAACTTGCAAATCAATTAATTAGGTAAGGCTTCCTGGCATTATACTGTTTCATAGTTCAGAGAAGTTAAAGCTGGGAAACACCTCCATCACATTCCACAAAACAATATGTGGTACCTCTCTATAGTTTTTTGAGGCCTCATGTTGTATTTAAGGTTGCACTATGGGAGTTTGTTGCGTTGACCCTTTTAGTCAAACATTGGCTTACACCTTTATACCTATTCTTTGCCGTAACACATTACACTTTGTGTAGTGCGTTATAGTGCCATTTATTTAGACTGGTACCCCAATCTACAGAACTACAGACGATAAAATGTCAACTATTGTAGTGCGCTGCGTTAAACAAATGTTGCATTGACTTTTTTTGTCCATTGACATGCATTAGAAGCTTATTTTTAGTAAATGGGATGCCTTGAAGCAGAACTAAATTCTGCACAGGGAAGTGGGTTCTCACCGTACTGAGCAAGTTTGCACACCATGCTTGCACATTTTGGTGCACTTACCTTTTAGTGTGACTCCTTTCCAGCGGTGACAGGTTTCGGATCCTGTTGCCCCTCCATCCAGCACTGCCATCTCCTTTGCCACTTCATCGGAGTCTTGCAGCCATTGATGATGTAGCTCCTGCGCATGCCAAGAATGCGTAAGGATGTATACTGCACAGAGTATGCCCCATGCAGTGTACATAGGAATGCAAAAAAAAACTGCTAGGAGTGTGGGGGAAGAGTTTTCGTTTCTGCAAAAGAGAATTTGCATGCCGCTTTTGCCCAAAATACTCTAGCTCCTTGCAGTTTTTCACAGGGCACAGGCTTTAATTCCTATTTAATACGACACATGTTAACATGCAAAATACTACACATTAACAGGTGTGCAGTAACGGATCAACTTCTGTGAGTACAGTAGAGCCCTAAATCTGCATATTGTGTGCTCCAGGGTTACAGTATAAGGACAGGCATCTGGAGGTGTCCTCATTTCACTGAGTAAAGTATTATCTCCACTGATTTAGCATCCCCACATACCATAACCAGGGTCGGTCTGAAGCAGAGGCAGAAGAGACACCCACTTTGGGCATTATGCTGCAGGGAATTACAGCTGAAGCACTGTGTAGGTCTGAGCTGTCAAATTAACAGCTGAGTTCTGAAGAATACACTGGGAGATAACCAGAGCACAGAGCCCATCTGTCACAAAGCTCTGATTATTACAGAGGGAAACTGCGGGATTGAGCTATCAGTTTGACAACTTGGGCCCTGCACTAAATCCATTATGAATGAAAGTTACTATTTAAAAAATAAAAAAAGTTTTATCAACTTCATTCTCTTCTTCCCCTAGAATTTGTTTTTTTGCTGATTTTTTTAAAATTTGTATGCAACTTAAATTTGCATTCATTCATTTCTTCATGTTTGTAGAGGTCCAATCGCAGAATACCCCCACACTGCAAGGATTAACTGCTTGTTTTCATCTAGGGACTAAAATAAAAAAGTTATACTCACCCGATCCACTGAGCCTGCCAGCTTGAGACAGCACTCCCTATGTGAAGACTCCCGGAGCTTAGACCGCTGCATTGGAGGAGGAGCGAGCCTGGAACGGCTGGCCGAACAGCAAGCTGGCTCAGAGAATTGGGTAAGTATAACTTTTTTTTCCCTCCCTAGACCAAAATGAGCAGCTAACCCTTGCAATGCAGTGGTAGCCCCACTGCAAGGGTTAATAAAAAAATTTGAGTTCTCCTTTAACTGTATGTTAGTTTTTGTAGCGCTGAATTAAAAAGCTAGAGAAATGGGGGGGTGCACATTGGCACCCTCGTCTTGCGTACCAGGGAACCCTGTTGCAGCACTAACCATAACACCACTGCCTGTAAAAAAAAAACATAAACGGCTATCCATACCTGCACACAACATGCTGATGCACACAGGCAACGTTATCCAGTGATGTCTTCATCAACCCATAGGATCCTCCAGAAACAGGGTTCACTTCCATATGTGTCTGTACCATTTGTAACCCCTATCCTGCTCCATCCACTTTAACAACTATGATCAGATAAATATATCTTAAGCCTTACCTTTTAAAAACACTGCCACATCTTCCAGTTGTGGTACATTGTCTTCTCTGTATCCGCAGTATTTGGTTAATAGAGGTAAGTTCTTTAAATATTCTCTGCAGGCATGAGTTGGATACAATTTTGTGAGTTCTCTAAACACTGTACCCCATGTTTTTATCTCTTCTTCTGTGTACTCCACTCTTGGAATTGGTTGACCACTAAATAAAAGCAACAGCAATCTATTAATATCTGCATGTCTTTAATATAAATGGAACTACATATTTAGTAAAACTCCAGCCACAAAGTTTTTTTTCCTCTGCCAAACACAACTGTAAAATATCTCTTTCTTTTTTCTTTCAATGACAATGGTCACCAGTATAGAAAGTAAGGATGTTCAGATACCAATTACCATACGTGGTACAAGTAGAAGTACTAATACTTTTCCAGCTCCAAGACTAGACTAGAGAAAAACTCAAAAGTTGGAAGGCATCTGTAATTTTTCATTAGAGCATGCAAGGCTCCTGGGATATATATATATATATACTGTATATGCACCCAATACCATTTTTTTTACAGACCAAGTACCGATACTTATCTAAGTACTCACAGATACAATTACTGATACGTTTTTGTTTAGTATCATGTGTCAGTTTTTCTAAAACAATACAGACAAATGATTTCAAGACAGTGGTGGAGCGCCAGTCCCAGCTGCAACTTCTGTAACCCTGGCAGCGCTTGTCAAAATGCCAAGTATCTGCACCAGTATCTGAACTGGTATCTGAACATCCCGAATAGAAAGTGAGAGTGAATTTTCCAACAGGGACACAGACAGCAATAAACATTTGACAGAAGCTCTAACCCCTCCACTGCTCTGGCCAACACTAATAAAACATGTTTTTTGGCTGTAGTTCCACTTGTAACTTATTGAGAACATGCAACAAATTAGTTATACTTAAACTTACTATTTATAACTCATGGCAACATCCACAAAATATTTTCTTCTTTGCCGGTAAACATTGTCCTTAAATCCCTTCAGGAAAAAAAGGACAAAACAGTGATAAGGAAACAACATTAGCAAAAAAAATGGAGACCAAACTGATTAAAAGAAACACTGTGTAAACAAACCATTAGAGATCACAGGGACCTAAAACAAAATAGTTGGATGAAGTATTTCCTTTACTGCAATTCCAAACTGGTTACAAAAAGGTCAAATGAGGTCTTCAGTAGCATACTTTTTGGCCGTAGCTTACTAACAACTCAAACGTTCTTTGAGCTTTTAGATGTTTTTAATGCCATGACCATGAAGAAGTTATTATTTGAATAACAATTCTGTAACATATATCTAAATAGCTAAATGTCAGGTATTTTCTGATGAAAACAAAGCCCTTTATTATCAAACTGCATGTTAAGAGGAACAGTACAACACAAGAACCTCATGTCATACTAGGAAGCTGATTCATTATAACTTGAGGGAAACAAAGAACAGAAAAGTGAATTGCCCATTGCAGCTAATTCTAAAATGAATTCCTATTGGTCAACTTTCTTTTTTCTAGTTCTAATAGTTTAGACCCTACATTTTTGTTGTAGCTGCTATCACTGATCAGCAATGAAAAATGATTATATAATATGTCAGTGTGCATTCATTTACAATTACAACACAATGATGTCACATTATTTTCTTTTTCTATTTCTACAGAATAATTGTAAATAATATCACTGCAGCATTGTAAGGTTTTGTCACGTTATCAAATGCCCTTTCACAGTTTCATCATCTAGGCGTTCAACCACTTTTTTCAATTTAAAGTGGACCTTTACCCATATCTTTGAAATGACAACAAATACATCATTAGAAACAGGGCCGGACAGGGACTAAAAATAGGCCCGGGCATTTTAGACTGAGCAGCCCAATCACATGACCCACCGGCAGGCCACACCCCTCACAACAGGGGGCGGAGCCAAACATAGAAGCGCAATCGAGGGGCAGGGCCGGCCACTAGTAAGTACCGGAGGGCTACAGCTGACATAGCAGGGGGGGGGGGCGGCGGCGACATTGATTTGCATATGAATTAGCCGCGATATTTACATATGAATGGGCAGTGGCTTATTGATATGCAAATCATTGCGGCCCATTCATATGTAAATATCTCGGCCGGGACAGGGGACAGAAACAGCGCCAGCAGCTCTGGAGACATCATAGAATAGAGACTAGAGAGAGCGGGGTGAGGAAGTGTTTTCTGGCCTCCCCCACCAGCTCCCTCTAGTGTCTACTGTGTAGTAGTGCCGGCTCTGCTAAGAGCCGGCCATCAGGCATAGCAAACCGGCCCGAACACAATCAGGTTGATTGTGTTCGGGCCGGCGCGGCCCACCGGGCAAGTGCCCGGTTTGCCCTATGGCCAGTCCGGCCCTGATTAGAAATGTTTAGTAATGACAATCTAAACAAACACATACATATAGATAATTGCCGGCCTTGTATTCTTTGCATATCTTATTTTTTTCCTACACATTCTTCTCACCATTTTTTACTAAGGGCAGATTATTCCATCTCCCTTTACTTGACTAAATGGACTAAACTTTAAGGCCTGATTAAAACTGAAGTGTGCTACAGCACCCTGCTTCACATGTGGTATTTGACATGTTAATGTATGTTGTGAGGCAGTCCTTTCATTTAGAATGGGCTGCAGCCAAGGCATGGCCATAGAAAAATTGGACCTGCACTGCAACACATGGCATGTGCATTGTGGATTGCTACAGGACATGGGTCCATAGGTACCTATTGTATTGTGAGTTTGGGTGTCATTATAAATGAATGGCACTGCAACATACCACATAGATTCCCATGTGCCACACAAGAACACAACACATAGGTGTTAAGCCAGCTTTAAACTCTAATAAAGTAGGGAATGTGAGTGTTGATGATTGGAGAGTAGTAGTTGTTCATTAAGGGTTAATAAGGGTCTTAAATTATGTATTTATTTAAGTTACACAGAACAGTAATTCGTGAATGAAAAGTACAAATGCAGCTCTCCCTCTGTGGTCATCAGAGCTCTGTAACAACTGGGCACTGTGCTCTGTTTTTGAGGAGCACACAGAGCTCCTGATACAGAGAGCTCACACTGAGAGGGGAGCATAGTGCCGCTGGTTACCCAGGCAAAGCCGCCACCTCCCAATGTATCCCAGTTTGACAGCTCAGTCCTGCACAGTGCAGGACATGACTGGGTGATGCAGAGGCCGGAGAGGCTCCCGCCATAGCTGCACCCACTGCAGCATGGCCCCCAAGGCAGATGCCTCTTATGACTTGGTCTGGCCTGGACTGTAAGTACCTAAATTTGAATTGGCATTATCCTTTTGTAGCCACTGCACAGCAGAGCTCAGACTGGGTGAGGAGAAGCAGCACAAGGAGCCAGTCAGCTGTGTTGCAGTGCAAGGTGCATGCTGATAGGAAAAGACAGCATGGTGATGGAAGGATGAACTTATCAGTCTGCTTCTCCTTTCACTGTCCAATCACAGGCTGGGGAGGGTCTAGACCTGTAAGTGTTACTTAACTGCAGCAAAGAAAAATTGGGTGTGTGGCCCCCACCGAACAGGGCTGTCTTGTGTAGCATATATCTGTAAATCTCAAGACTGGATGAACAGAAAAAAATTGTTTTGCAGGTAAAGCAGCTCTTATGTATGTGTTTCTTCTGTGTGTTTTGCTGGTTGCCTGGAGTTCAGAGTTAACTCCCCCGCACTGCAAGGGTTAAGTGCTTGTCTAGGGAGCTAAAATAACAAAGTTATAGTCACCAAAACCATGAAAATGGCTAGATCTCAGACTGGTCCCCTCGCTCCCCCTCCACTCCAGAGATCTAAGGTCCTGTGAGTTATCACGTCCTATACAGTATATTGGACGCCAGGACACAGAGGGACATTCTATCGCTGGAGTGGAGGAAGAGGCAGGCTGGATGGGAGAGATGTAGGTGCAAGTTAGGATCATGGTTCAGGTGAGTATACCTTTGTTATTTTAGCTCCCTAGACAAAATGAACACTTAACCCTTGCTGTGGAGGGGAGCCACACTGCAAGGGATAAGATTTGATTTGCTCAGACTTCTGCTTTAACATAAATACAAGTAGAGACAAAGATCCAAGGTCAAGCAGGACTTGTTCCAAATGTTGATAACCCTGATTTAAACTTCACCTTATCAAATGTACCAGCATGGAGCACTCTGACAAACTGCACTTAACATGCTGTAACACGCCAACTAGATTTTAATAATGCAAAGTTTATTTCTGCACCACACAGAAATTTCTCTGTAAGCAGAACTTTAAGTAAAAACAGTTCCTGCGCATCCTTTACATTTTTATGTCTGTTCAGATTAGGATGTCAAGTGATTTAACTGCATTATAAACCATGAAATATCACAGGAAATTTCAGAAAAGTCTGTTTTTGTTATTTAAGAGTATTGCGCATATACAGTGCAATTTTTCAGTGCTGTAAAAGATCCACATACAGGGGCTTAAAACCAGCCATAAAACACACTTGCAATAAGTAGCGGTGCTGTAAATGTCGCTGTTCTGCATACATTTCTTGTTATATTCCGAATACAAATGAGCTTTTCATTATTCGACAAAAGATGGGAGATATCAATCTTAATTTGAACCCCTTTTATTTTCCAGATGTTACACGCAGCAAAAAAATATCAGTTGAAAAGGAAATTGCCACTTTGAGTCTGAAATTAAATTCGATAAGCCTGCACACTTCAAACTGCTGACACATTTGAAGAAGCACACATCATACAAACCAACAGCACAGCTCTCAGTTTTGTATATCCTTTAACAATTCTTGGCTGCACTGTTTGAAGTGAAATTGCACATTGAGTAAGTTTTTACAGGTAAATGCGAATAAAAATGTCACCAGTATCATTTCTGTGACTCTTTTATCTTTGGCTGGTTTCCCCATTCCCATCCCCTACGTGCACAGAAACCCTATGATTTTTAGATCAATCCCATAAATGGTTTGGATTCGTTTTCTTTAAATGTTGTGACCACCACCAACTTTTATTTTTCTTGAATTAAAGTGATATTAAACCTTAATTTTTGTTCTTTTTATATTCAAAAACTTATGTGAATTCACTTCTATGCTTCTTTACATTCTTTTTTCCTCTTTCTTGTTTCTTGTTACCTTGTTTGCGGGTGTCTCCATCAGCTAGCCAGCTGCTCAGGTCCGGTCTCTGGGCGGAATCTTGGAGGCGGGGCCTGGGGGAGGAGCCATCTGCCTCCAGCTATTTAGTCTGCTGGGTAGCAGCATGGGTGTGGAGTTGTCTGTCTGGGTGCTCCTTCGCATTAACTGCTGTGGATACAGTGGTTGCAGGTTGGTGTCAGTTTCCCAGGTGACCTCTTGATGTGAGTGTCGTCTACATGTGGTATTGATTTTGCATGTCATTTTTTCAGTATGCCTCTGGATAAGCCTTCCCCTGCTAAAGATCGCCAGTCATTGAGAAGGTAGGCACCTGCCTCTTATGTAGTTCATGATAAGAAGACAAGGTCAGTACTATGTTGTTATTTTTGTTTTGTTATTTTATTTTCTTATTTCCAGTTCTAGGTCTGGGTCACGACGTGGCCGTGAACGTGGTCGATCCTCTACTTCCAGTCGGGGACGTTCTCCTTCTCCGCTAGCTAAGCGTTCGCATCGATATGAGAGGAGGTTCCGCAACAGGTCTGTAAATCCCTCTGCACAGCCGGGTACTTCTCATCACCAGCAGCCGCTCCTAGAGGGGTGTTGGGCTTGTCCCAATAAGGCCTTGCCTGGTAAAACTGCTTGCCAGTCATGTTTTTTCGAGGCCACTAAGGACAACGATGCGGACACCTCTCAGGTCATGTCTTTAATGAAGACGGTTTTCCAGGATACCTTGAAGGAGTTCTCTGCCGCTCAGTTTCTGCAGCAGGGCGAGCCGAGTCAGAGGCCAGTATCCCCGGCAAGGCCTGGGCCGTCGGGAGCGGTCGGCTCCAGTAAGGGCCATGTTTCGCCTGAACCCCATTCTAACTCTTCCTCTTCTG